CTCTCACCCCCCCCCCCCCCCCCCCCCCTCAAAAAAATAAATAAATTAATTAATATGCATCTTAAATTGCTCATAAAGTTACAAGCGTGCAACTTGCTCGTAAAGTGACGAACATGTCAATATATATATTTTGCAATTAGAAAAGGAATCCAAACCTAACAAACCTTATATTGGCAGAAACAAAAAGCATGTTACTCTATTGCATTTTGTTAGATCCTAATTGACTTAATTGGGAAGCTAAACAAAAATTATTGGCTTTTCTACTTTAAAAAAGAGGTAATATCGAAATTGGCAGACTATTATAAAATTTTGTTACTCTTTTTCTGTCGTAACTAAATTCGTAAAAATCAACATTAATAGGAGGAAAAAGTATATTCGGACGACAATAAGTTAATTATCATTCTCAACAAGAAGTCAAAAAAAAAAAAAAAATGTCCACTCAAATTGGAAGAATACACGTGCCTTAAAGCTCATCACACTTGCATGGTGACGTGAGGTTAAACATATGGTGATGTGAGATAGATATCCAAGTTAATTAGCTTTTATAGAAATAATCAAATTTTGAATGCCTCAATTGTTATCGGAATAGACCTGGAAAAAATTGGCTCAGAGAAATGTGCTTTTCGATGTCATATTAATCATGTATAAAGAATGTCTTTAACTAGGAAATTTCCATCTTTTAACATGTGAGGCATCCCTTTTCTAAAAGTTGATCTTATCCTAACAGGGTCCATGTGTGCAAGACACATAACCCAAAGATTGATTCTTTGAAGTTCTAAAATAAATTAGTAAGATACATGTGTATGCACCACCAAAAAATAAATAATAATAATAATAATAAATAAATAAATAAATAAAACTTCCAAAGGACTTGCTTAAAAAAAATTTCATCTGGCCAAATTTTTCAGCCACAGGTGTGAGATGTCTAAATCTATAACATTGAAATTTATCTTTGCAAGCAAGAAATTAGTGACAACAACTTAGACATGCTTATATGGAATTTTACGGTTAAAACGGCTGCAGTATTTTGTTGAGAAAATAGGGAAATAGAAAAAAAAACAAAAGGTGTTGGAAAACTCACATTCATTTCAACATCTATAATAGGCTCAACAACAGAGTATGAGGTTCTTGAATACCATCCTGGATCTTCTTCCTGCTCAGAAAAATATCAAACCTAAGTGTCAATGTTTTAATCAAGATATACTATAATGAGATCTGCTTTAACCATCTTTGCACAAACCTCCAATATTTTAACAAAGAGACGCATTGCCTCTGTGGAAGCCATGTTTCCAAGTCCATTCCAGCTTCAAGACGAGAAAACAACAGCAATGTTCAGACATTTTGAATAGTATGCACATTCAAGAAAAGTAAACATAAAACTTCTCAACATCAATTTTTAGAGGGAAATATTTAATGAAATCAATTTCACTCGAACCATAACTGAGAATTATGCTTGTAAGATGCAGCATCAAAAGGAATGAAGGTTATGTACTGCTGTGATAGAGGAAGCGAGTGAAATCAATTTTATTTCTCAATGAAAGTGTCAGTGAAAGATTACTGGAAAGGAAAACAGTTTACAGAAGTCAAAAACATACTTCGCTGCTTCACATTCTGCATTCCATAACGTCTCTTCCCTTATTAAAATTTAGAATTATATAAAGCATTCCAGAGAATCTCACCTATCCACAAAATACTTCAACTGATGCAAATCATGATAGACTTCATCAGTTATTTTTAACTTTTTAACCATTCAAACATTGGCACAGTTTTTTCCCTTTATTTTGCTTCCCAACATATATTGGGAATTTGATGCACCATTGCTAGGTCACCATTTGATGTATGTTTTATGCAGAGCATTCAGATGATAACTTGATATTGAAATATTGCCCCAAAAGAATTGATGATATAAAGTACAGAGCACAGAATAAGTTGTTCATTACATAAAATGGAAGCACACTAGCTGGTATGCATTGATACTGTCAGCACTAGGAAGTCGTGACCAATAGCCACAGATGGGGTGTCCATCTCCATCTCAATTTTTTAAAGTGTAAGACACATCGCAACTCATCTCTGACACGACATGATATTATCTCACACACCGGAGAACTATAAAATAACCAAAAAGAAAAATAAAACCTAAGAACTTAGTAGAATAGAATTGAACTCTATTTTTCCAGGTAAGTGGGTGTCATGTAGGCGTTAAAATATCGACGGAATTTCAGTGGAAGCGTTGACATTCAAAAGGTGCTGCTACAGTTTCTTTCATCTTCTGGCAGCGATAATGGAGCCAAACCCTAGATAAACAAGTTTTTTTTTTAAATATATATATATATATTTTTTTTTTTATTTTATTTTATTTTTTTTTATTTTATTTTATTTTTTTTAAACCCCAACATTTCAATGAGTGAGCCACTTTTCTATTTTTTTAAAAACCAAAAAGCAACTTGATGTATTTATCAATAAAAATAAGACTCACCACTTTATTTGATCAATTGAGTGGGGAAAAAATGACAAGAAATGTTTTACTTGTTTTCAATTGTTGTATATCTCAATGAAAATGGATCCACCACCTTGAAGTTGAATAGGCAATCTAGTATTTTATATATAAATGCATGTGTTTCTCAATAAAAGGGGTCACACTTGACAACTCGAATAACAAATACATTTTCAAAACTTATTTAGAAACTTGTTCCTTCTTTTTGATTATACTATTACTAAAAAATAAAAAATTTATATAAACAAAAAGAAATATTGTTTTAATCTATATGTTGAGCAATACAATTGTTCCTCTCTACGTAAATTGACAAATTAACTAACCAAAAGAATCCACTTCACTTTTTTTTTTTGTCTTCAATCCTTTTCATCTTTTGGCTATGAAAGCCCAACCTCTATTTTTCACAAGCTACGACCATCACAAAAACTCATGACCAGTTGCCAAAGTTTAACAACATTAAATCCCTTCAGTATAAATAAAGTCATTTTTTTTAAAACCATTCACAAACATTCTATTCCAGGCCAAATATCATAAAAAAGTACTGCTCAAACCCGTCTTCATACAAAATTCAAAACTCTCATGCCAACATCCATTGTCCATTAAAGGGCGTTACTAGAATTCATAATGAAAACATATGGTAAATGGACAAATCAACTTAGCTGACATATGCCCCATATTTCTGAACATATGCAGAACCTAAGACTACCGACATGGACACGAGTGTCCGGACACGTTGACACGCGATTTTTCAAAAATGCATCGACACAATATGTTACCGACACGATGATTAAAATATTTTTTTAATTTTTTAAATTAATTTTTATTAATATTTTGATTTATTTTTTATGTAAAATAAAAAAATTAAAGAGTTTGAGCAAGAAGAGTTTTCTCTTGAAATGGAACCTAAATCTTTTTGTAATTGGAATGGGTTGTGTAAGTTTGTATTGTATTCCAAGGCATTGGTAAAATAATAATTTAGTTGTTATAAAAGTTTTCCACTATTTGGAATTAGTGCTATTCTTGTATGACTAAATAAAATGTAAATCCATTTTTAAAAAAATTTGACCCACTTTAAAATTGGCCTGACTCAATTCAAAATTGGCCAGGTCCAATTTAAAAACTTTGACCCAGTTACTAAAACCTTAAAATTGAAAACAAACTCTCGTCTTCGACAAAATTAAGTTTCCCATAGAGAATTTCTTCCCCCTCATGCAGCTCCATCAAGTTACTGTCTAAAATTTGCTAGAACTCATGAGAGTTTGGGTCAATGGATACCAAAAGCCAACTAAATCGGTATGGTAAGGTTAGTTTTTCCTTTCATTTATTATTTTTTCACCCTTTTTGGTCGTCGGAAATCCAAAAAAATGAAAGTATGTGCCACCTAGCTTGCCAGACACGTATCAAGGACTTGTCCGAGACATGTCGGTGTCCAACACAACTCCGACACTGATATGCCGGAGTTGGGGACGTGTTCGTGCTTCCAGTGCAGTACCTTAGCTATGCTACTAAGTCAACTCAACATTTTCTATAAACTTTTGGTCCAATGCAATTGCCATTACCCAATATGAAGTAAAAATGAAAATTCTGATCATGAATTTTCGCAATTTCTCATTTCAACTAAATGATTTATCACAAAAGTAGATAAGGAACAACTACAGAAAGACAAGTTTCTTCAATGTTCAGCACACAACATTAGCTTAATCTACCTAGTTACAACCTACAAAAGGGCATATAATAGGTAAGACAAGCTAGTGATCCCGAAAGATACGTCACAAAAGGAACCTTCACTATGTGTACAACCAAGGAAGCACTAGCACGCGTGTCTAACATGCGATTTTTCATAAAAGTATCGTCATGATTTATACACAAGTCAGAGGACATATACTGACTCACCCGTTGCCGACAGCAAGGTGATTCATCCTAAGTTACAATGATCTAGATGACACAATCAAGAAGACTAAAATTTCAATAGTGATGGAAGGTCAATTGAATCCCAGCTCTTACATCAATAAGCTATGCAGCACGGACACTCTAACTAGAGTAGCGTGTCTGTGTCCGACACGTGTCGGATACGTGTCGAAACCGACACTCTTCGGACACTCTACAATAATCATTTTCCTTTCTTACTATAATTATTATATATTTTTAACTCAAAGTTTTTATTAAATAACAAATAAGTACTCATATTTAAAAAATTTCAACAAAAAAGAATCAATAATAAGTATAAAACTAAATTTAAACTATATAAATGAAGAATTTTAAAGAATTTATCGAACGTGTCGACGACGTGTCGTGTCGGTACTTTTTTGAAAAATCACGAGTCAACGTATCCGACACGTGTCCATGTCAGTGCATTATAGTCAATAAGTTCTAAGAAAGGAATTTGGGTAGTAATTGAGATATCCATAACCATTAATATATGGATTCACAATCAAGACTGGGCATCTCAAGTTGCTTGCTTCAGGGGTAATAAATTTAGTATAATCATCACTGATCAATCAACCTCCATTTTCAGTTAATATATCCTCACTTCTTCATTGAAGCTAAAAGGACCTAGCTATATATCATCCTGATTCGGAGAGTTCAAAAACCAAATGAATATAGAAGTAATTATTTTGCCTCGTAACAAATTACAACATATGTAAGGAAATAAAGAACATTTCTACTAAGCCCTTTTTTTGTTATCCATTATTTCCAAAATACATTTTTGTCTCTCTTATTTTTAACCACACATTTTTCAATAAAACAAAACAATACAATTGTTCCTCTCTACGTAAATTGACAAATTAACTAACCAAAAGAATCCACTTCACTTTTTTTTTTTGTCTTCAATCCTTTTCATCTTTTGGCTATGAAAGCCCAACCTCTATTTTTCACAAGCTACGACCATCACAAAAACTCATGACCAGTTGCCAAAGTTTAACAACATTAAATCCCTTCAGTATAAATAAAGTCATTTTTTTTAAAACCATTCACAAACATTCTATTCCAGGCCAAATATCATAAAAAAGTACTGCTCAAACCCGTCTTCATACAAAATTCAAAACTCTCATGCCAACATCCATTGTCCATTAAAGGGCGTTACTAGAATTCATAATGAAAACATATGGTAAATGGACAAATCAACTTAGCTGACATATGCCCCATATTTCTGAACATATGCAGAACCTAAGACTACCGACATGGACACGAGTGTCCGGACACGTTGACACGCGATTTTTCAAAAATGCATCGACACAATATGTTACCGACACGATGATTAAATATTTTTTTAATTTTTTAAATTAATTTTTATTAATATTTTGATTTATTTTTTATGTAAAATAAAAAAATTAAAGAGTTTGAGCAAGAAGAGTTTTCTCTTGAAATGGAACCTAAATCTTTTTGTAATTGGAATGGGTTGTGTAAGTTTGTATTGTATTCCAAGGCATTGGTAAAATAATAATTTAGTTGTTATAAAAGTTTTCCACTATTTGGAATTAGTGCTATTCTTGTATGACTAAATAAAATGTAAATCCATTTTTAAAAAAATTTGACCCACTTTAAAATTGGCCTGACTCAATTCAAAATTGGCCAGGTCCAATTTAAAAACTTTGACCCAGTTACTAAAACCTTAAAATTGAAAACAAACTCTCGTCTTCGACAAAATTAAGTTTCCCATAGAGAATTTCTTCCCCCTCATGCAGCTCCATCAAGTTACTGTCTAAAATTTGCTAGAACTCATGAGAGTTTGGGTCAATGGATACCAAAAGCCAACTAAATCGGTATGGTAAGGTTAGTTTTTCCTTTCATTTATTATTTTTTCATCCTTTTTGGTCGTCGGAAATCCAAAAAAATGAAAGTATGTGCCACCTAGCTTGCCAGACACGTATCAAGGACTTGTCCGAGACATGTCGGTGTCCAACACAACTCCGACACTGATATGCCGGAGTTGGGGACGTGTTCGTGCTTCCAGTGCAGTACCTTAGCTATGCTACTAAGTCAACTCAACATTTTCTATAAACTTTTGGTCCAATGCAATTGCCATTACCCAATATGAAGTAAAAATGAAAATTCTGATCATGAATTTTCGCAATTTCTCATTTCAACTAAATGATTTATCACAAAAGTAGATAAGGAACAACTACAGAAAGACAAGTTTCTTCAATGTTCAGCACACAACATTAGCTTAATCTACCTAGTTACAACCTACAAAAGGGCATATAATAGGTAAGACAAGCTAGTGATCCCGAAAGATACGTCACAAAAGGAACCTTCACTATGTGTACAACCAAGGAAGCACTAGCACGCGTGTCTAACATGCGATTTTTCATAAAAGTATCGTCATGATTTATACACAAGTCAGAGGACATATACTGACTCACCCGTTGCCGACAGCAAGGTGATTCATCCTAAGTTACAATGATCTAGATGACACAATCAAGAAGACTAAAATTTCAATAGTGATGGAAGGTCAATTGAATCCCAGCTCTTACATCAATAAGCTATACAGCACGGACACTCTAACTAGAGTAGCGTGTCTGTGTCCGACACGTGTCGGATACGTGTCGAAACCGACACTCTTCCGACACTCTACAATAATCATTTTTCTTTCTTACTATAATTATTATATATTTTTAACTCAAAGTTTTTATTAAATAACAAATAAGTACTCATATTTAAAAAATTTCAACAAAAAAGAATCAATAATAAGTATAAAACTAAATTTAAACTATATAAATGAAGAATTTTAAAGAATTTATCGAACGTGTCGACGACGTGTCGTGTCGGTACTTTTTTGAAAAATCACGAGTCAACGTATCCGACACGTGTCCATGTCAGTGCATTATAGTCAATAAGTTCTAAGAAAGGAATTTGGGTAGTAATTGAGATATCCATAACCATTAATATATGGATTCACAATCAAGACTGGGCATCTCAAGTTGCTTGCTTCAGGGGTAATAAATTTAGTATAATCATCACTGATCAATCAACCTCCATTTTCAGTTAATATATCCTCACTTCTTCATTGAAGCTAAAAGGACCTAGCTATATATCATCCTGATTCGGAGAGTTCAAAAACCAAATGAATATAGAAGTAATTATTTTGCCTCGTAACAAATTACAACATATGTAAGGAAATAAAGAACATTTCTACTAAGCCCTTTTTTTGTTATCCATTATTTCCAAAATACATTTTTGTCTCTCTTATTTTTAACCACACATTTTTCAATAAAACAATATAACATGCAAATCCAAAAATTTTCCTTATTTTTTAACCATACACTCTCCAACAAAATACAATTCCAAAATGCATTTTGGATTTTGGGAAAACAATTGGCTCAAACAGGCACTAAAACTAAGATAATTTCTGATGACCAGCCGTAAAGTTCCTCTCAAGGAAGAATAGTTGTAGGGAAGATGGTTTCCATTTTGATATTGAGGGGGAATATAACATAAAACACTTAGACAAAACATATAATGAGTACTCACAGCCTAGTAGGTGGGATCAAAAGATGACATTTGTCTTTGTTTCAGGTAACTTAATAGTTTGTCCACTCAATATGTCGTTTGAATTTCAGTCATTTTTTACGCCACCTAATTTTCTATACACGCTACTGCAATGATTTTCATCACAATCAATCAATTACATGAGCTGTCCAAAGTACGTACTCAAGGTCTCTTTAATCCAACATACAATCAACAATAACTAACTCCAATGACGAGAAATATAGAAACTCTGTTGCCAATTTTTTTGGAGCTGCTTCACCACTGACCTTTACTAAAGTCTGGTTTGTATTTTCATTTAGTTGAACTTTACTTTCATAGTATCAGTTTCACAGTTATCTTCAGGTATCATTTTTCAAGTGCTTGTCACTTTAAGTTGATAGCGATGACAAATTTACTGTTAACATCCCTACTAGTACAAACATGAACAAAACACATCACTAACCTTATACCAGGATGCTGCTCTTAAGCCATTCCTTGTTACAGAAAACACATGAATAGGAAATGCTGATTCCATATGTCACAAGAAACCATATGAAACTAACTATTTTCTCGCTCTTTCCTACGGTTTATAGACTACGATTACCAACATTTCCGAAGGGTGTCTGTGCTGGTTCAGCATTATCCTATGTAGTATCTTTCTTATTTTTATTACTTTTTAATTTTTTAACTGTCATTTGAACCTCATTCTTGCAAATAATTTCTTCTCTGACAATAGTACCCTCTTACAATTTCAAATTACATTATTCCAAAGTCCAAAATACAATTTTTGTAACTTTGACGTGCAAACTTATAAGCACCATTGTCATGTTAGAAATCAAGAAATTATGTAAATGGTGTATCAAACAATGAAATTTCAATCAAACTAATGAGGGCTGATACTGCTCTCGTTTGGGTCACTTTTCCTTTTTGGAAAACCAACAAAGCAAACAAGAAAATTCTAATAAGTACTACAAACCTGGTCCATTTGCTTTGTTCAATGGGACTCCAGCCTCTAGGCTTAGGAATGTTACAAGGCCCCACAGTTGCCTGAAACCATCAAATAATAGCATAACTCATCTAATAAAATAAAGATTTTACTCAAAAATCCCAACTAAGATTACGAGACTCTACTGTTACCTGATAACACTGAACCATTTTTCGTTGTTTAAAGATAGCCATTTTTGCACAAAAATTTAACACAAAATTTGAGTTTGGGTACTGTTTACAGGTAACAGGAGAGAAGGATGAACATATTTGTAAATTTGACCTTTATAATTTTAGAATGCATATTTCCATAGAAATCAGGGATAACAATATGAATCAATATCCTCCATTTCCAAAATTCTTAAAATTCCAGAAAGTACCAAATCTTCAAAAAATAAAAATGAATAAAAAGGAACAAGCCCCTGTTTGTCACCCATTATTTGGGAAATTAAAGAGTTTTAAATAGTATTTTTTTGGAGAACATGTGTTTAAAAAGTGCGTTATTGGTTTGCTTGTAGAATATTTTATTTTGTGAAAGTGAGATGGACATTAACACTGTAGCAATTTAAAATTTTAAAGGGTAACGGACAGGCACCAAATCTACGGAAGTTCAATGACGTCCCCATTTGATAATAATGTAACAAATCAGCCAATCAGAACAGAAAATTCACGATAATTTTTTTAATGGAAATATAACAGTCTATAATAGAAAAGTCTCGCAAGCTGCAAGAGAGTGCATATTCATATTGATGGATGTCAGAAATGAATAAAACTTCAATAACACTGACCCCTAATTCGAGTGACGCAAATGTGAATCAAGCCAGATTTTTCAATTGATAATAAACCACACTAGCTGAAATCCCGCATTAAATGAAAATAAGCAAAGACATAATTTTCAAACAAATCGATCGGATTCCCAGAATTCGAATAATACAGGAGTGGATCACGCCAATTGATGAAATTATAAATCATGCATGATTAAAAATTTGAGATTAAAAAGGAAGGAAACCCACTTGCTGGTAGAGTGCGTAGAGGAGGAGAGCGACGTCGTTCGAGAACTTGGAGCTGACGCCTTTGGCAGAAGAATTTGGGGATCCACCGAATCCGGCGTAGGTCGACGCCGCATAGAATCGCTCCGGGTACGCGAGGCCTGATAGTGCCCTCGTCATCGCCGCTGCCGACATTTGAGCTTCTGCCGTCGGATTCAGAACCTCAGATCAACGTAGCTTGCCGCAGAATCAGTTTAACAATAATGCAAGTAAAAGGCGTGATTTGAATTGGGAGAAATTTTGTAAACTTTTTTTGTACTACGGACCAAGAAGAAGGTCACTAATAAGATTTCCGTTAGCAGTATTCAGATGCTGATGAAGACTGTGAACGGGTTGAAAACTAGGTTTGGCAACGGTTTGATTCAAGATCCGTTGAACAAAAACCATCAATTTTTTTATCATATCATAGTCGCATCATTAATACTAAAGTCGATTTGGTTGGTTTGGTTGGTATCTTGATTCGACTCGATTCGGACGATTAATAATTACAAACGGTACCAAATCCAGGACTTCGATCCAATTAGGACGATCGCTGACCATTGATCGTCAACTATCAATGGTTTTATAGCTATGTCATTTATTAATATCAAATTAAATAATATTAAAAATTATTCTATACATATATAAATACACTAAAATGTAAAGATCGTATATTTATATCAAATTATAATACAATACAATCCTAAATAATATAAAATAAATGATACATGAGACTTATTTGTGTTATCAATGCTTAATAAATCGTTTGCTCGACTAGAAGTAGTTACGGTATTAGATAAATCACTACAAGAACTAGGTTAGGACATCGATTGAAAAAATAATTCCACAATTTGTATTAAAATTAAAATTAATTTAAAAATATAATTAAATTTTCAATTTTCAATTCACAACACCAATTTATCACAAATTATAAATTTCCCAATTTCTCATTTTCAATTTTCACAAATTACATAATCACATTTCACAAGATTCAATTAATTTTTAATGTCACAATTCACAGTTGATATATTCTCAAATTCTTATATAACACATAAATAATTAAAAAACAATATTAAGTCAATTTAGCAAATAATATCCCAGATGAAAATAAAAACAATATCTCAATTTTCAAATGCTAAATTCCAATTTAACAAACAAAATTATCAACGTAATAATACTAAACAATATCTTTACTCCTTAATCCTTATGCATCGAACTTGATTCCTACTCAATAATTCAAAACGTCAATTCATATTCAATTTTCATTCATATAAAGAATAATGGAAAGCTCAATTGCCCAATTATTATTTTTTTAACGGGCACTTATAAAAAAAATTAACGAGTAATTAGTTCGGGACGAGTCAACGACGTAAATACCATACTTGCCCCGTCCTGAATCGAGTCATTAAGATCAAATACCATGTTCACCCCATTGCACATCAGTTCGAATTTGTTGGCCCTGTTCGATTCGATTAACCGCGATTTTTGATTTTGACGGTTCGAATTGCCATTCCAATTGAGAACTAAGGACGAAAGGCCATCAAATTTTATACTTGTCGTATCGTGACCATTCAATTTAATTTTGTTTTACCATGAGTATTCAATTTAATTTTGTTTCATCATACTCATCCAACTTTATACTCAATGTCGCTATGGCCACCTATTTTAATTTTATTTTTTCATAGTTACTCAATTTCATATAATATTTAATCATGACAATCCAATTTTATATAACGTTTCACTGTAGTCACCCAACGTTTTTTCACCATTTTCACTAATTTTAAATAAAGTAAAATAGTAACTTTGCATTATATATATATATAATAAATTTAAAATAATTAAAATAAAAGTTTATTTTAAAAAATAAAATAAAAACTTGTTTAAAAAAATTTATTTCGAAAAATAATATAAAACTTATTTTAAAAATAATTTAAAATAAAATAAAAACTTATTAAAAAAAAGTTACTTATAAAAATAATATAAAATAAGAAGTTATTAAAAAATAAGAAAAACTTATTTTAAAAAAGGTTGCTTAGAAAAATAAAATAAAATAAGATGTTATTTTCAATTAAAAAACTTTTATTTTTTTAAAATTTATTTTATATGTATAATACAAAATTTTTGTTTTACACTTTCATAAATTAGTGAAAATGGTGAAAGAAAATTGGATGACTATGTTGAAATGTTATATAAAATTAGGCGACCATGATGAAACATTATATAAAATTTGGTGGTCATGGTGAAATAAAATCAAATTACATAGTCATGGTGACAATAAATATAAAGTTGGGTGGCCATAATGAAATAAAATTAAGTTTGGTGGTCACGGTGACACTAAATAGAAAGTTTAGTGACCATTGATGGATTTAACCCACTGAATTCTTTTTAAAGTCCAATTAAGTCCTTGTTTGATCTCCATTCTTTGCATTCTTTGCAAAAAAATGAATTCTTTTACAGTGTTTTAACATCATTTCAATCACATGTTTTTCAATAAAATAATATTAAACATAAATCCAAAACTTTTCATTATTTTTTAACCACACATTTTCCATCAATACATTATTCAAAAATTCATTTTTCCCCCTCAAAATGGGGCTCAAATAAGGGCCAAAAAAAGCAATTTCACCAATTGTCGCTAAAGTTGTTTCAAAATCCAAGTTGATTATTAACATTAATTTTGAGTTACTAGGATGAAAAATTTTTGCCCCACCCCACCACAATTCCCCAAATTCATCCCTTTCTTTTTATATCTTTCTCAATTTAAATTGCTTATAAAATAAAAAAAATAAAAAAACTATAATTATAATCAAAAGAAACAAATTGAAATATTTTTATTTCAAGCTCTGGAGTGGATGGGGATGGCAATTGTTATGCTTCCTCAATTGAAAGCATATCAGCATACGATGAGTCAAGGCCAACTATGAAGGTGGTGTCATTGTCATAGGTGGTGTCACTCGGGGCATCGTCCGAGACGTCCCTATCTGAAGTGATGTGAGCCGAGGCCAACTATGAGAAAGGCGTCACTGTCCTAGGTGACATCTCCTGGGTCATCATTCAAGGCGTCCAGATTAACTAAGGCGTCGCTATCCGAAGTGAGTTCACGTGTCTCGCATCCAACAGCTGCCCCTTCCAATTTTTCCCTATAATTATCGAAAGAACCCAACCCAAGCAAGGTAAGGTTACTCCACCACTAAAGCATAAATACTCCTCCCTCTTCACAGAATTCATGGCAGATTGCCATCATCAGAATATATTCACCGTCGACTAACTTGACCGTCGAAAAGTATATGACTGCTATCACTTTTGTTGGGATTGGCCATATACTTCTGACTATTTGTGTTGTGCGCAGGAAGGAATGCATATGGAATAGCTCTCGATTGGCCACATTGAGATACTATTTTATTAGGTCAATAGCAGTCACAATCCCACCTCAACCATTGCCATCTCTAAATTTGAAGCAAAAAGGTAGAGTACATCCTCCGTCACCCTTGAAGAAGGTAACTTTGATTTTTGACTGAAAATCATTTTTCTATGTATATTTGTTGAGAAAACTTTATGAAAATGTATATATGTTGAAGCAAAAAGGTGGAGGAGATCGTAAAAAATGGCGATCTCTACGATTATGAGAAGATGGCCTAGCATTTGGGCCGTCTTTAAAAATCCAAATTCAGACAGTCTAGTTGTTTATAGGCCATTTGATTTGGGTTTTCGGATGGTCAAGTCGTTTGGAAATTTTTTTTATAATTATTTTATAATTACTTATTTTAAATTGTTTTAATTTAATTACTTATTTAATTTTAGGAAATTTTAAAAACAATTCATATTACACGAACAATTAACTAACTAAAATAAATTAATTAATACAATGAATTAAAAAATAAGCAAATAATATTCATATTAAAATGTTAAAATAAATGATTAAATTAAGTATTAATCAAGAAATTAAAATAAATAAATAATATACATAAACAATTAAAATAACAGAGGAAACAATTAAATAAACAATTAAATTAAGTAATACAAAAATAACTAAATTAAGCAATTAAAATTTGTAGTTAAAATATTAACATAAATAATTAAATTGAGTATTAATAAAATAATGAAATAAGAAATTAAAATTAGTAATTAAATTAAGATAAATAATTTAATATTTAATATACATAAATAATTATAATAATTATTTAAATGTTAAAATAAAAAATTAAATTAAGTATTACAAGATAATTAAATTAAGCAATTAAAATTAGTAATTAAAATAGGTAATTAAAAAAATAATATACACAAACAATTAAAATAACTAATCAAATGTTTAAATAAAAACTTAAATTAAGTACTAATAAAGTAAATAAATCAAGCAATTAAATATTAACATAAATAATTAAATTGAGTATTAATAAAATAATGAAATTAACCAATTAAAATTAGTAATTAAGATAAATAATTAAATATTTAATATGCATAAACAATTAAAAGAATTATTTAAATGTTAAAATAAACAATTAAATTGAGTACGAATAAAATAGTTAAATTAAGCAATTAAAATTAGTAATTAAGATAAATAATTAAATATTAAATATATTTATAATATACATAAATAATTAAAATAATTATTTAAATGTAAAAATAAATAATTAAATTAAGTATTAAAAAATAATTAAATTAAGCAATTAAGATAAATAATTAAATATTAAGTATATAATATACGTAAACAATTAAAATAATTATTTAAATGTTAAAATAAACAATTAAAATGAGTATTAAAAAATAAATAAATTAATAAATTAAAATTAGTAATTAAGATAAATAATTAAATATATAATATATAATATACATAGACAATTAAAATAATTATTTAAATGCTAAAATAAACAACTATATTAAGTATTAAAAATTAATTAAATTAATTAGTAATTAAATAGGAAATTAAATAAATAATATACATAAACAATTAAAATAACTAATGAAATGTTTAAATAAAAAATTAAATTAAGTATTAGTAAAATAATTAAATAAAGTAGTTAAAATTAGTAATTAAATATTAAATAAATAATATATGTAAATAATTAAAATAATTAAATATTAAATATATAATATACATAAAATTAGTAATTAAAATAAACAATTAAATATTAGTAAGTAAAATTATTTATGAACAAAATAATTAAATTAAACAAATTAAAATAAATAATTAAAATATTAATATAAACAATGAAATTATGAAGAAATTAAATAAATAAATTATATAAAGAATTAAATGCTAAACAAATAATATACATAAACAATTAACATAATTACTTAAATATAAAAATAAATAATTAAATCAAATATTAATAAAACAATTAATATTTCTTTGCAATCATTTCCTTTATTCCATTATATGTTGATTATTACGTATATT